CTAGGATCCTTAAGAAGTGTCCTAAGAAGTGTCCCCAGCCACTTGCACCACGTGGTCTGTGTCTAGAGCACTGTGTAGACATAGACAGGCCAGAGGCCAGCCAGCATCGGAGCCAGAGTTCCTATAGTTGCCACTGGAAGGGGCCAAAAGACACAGGGGTCAGGACCCTGTGATCAGCCCTGCACCTGGACCAGACAACACATACACACACACATGCACGCACACCAGTGCACGTGCACAGGGCTGGCAGTACTCACCCGGACCAGCCAGCCTGAGAGAAGGCTAGGAAGAGATGAGGCCTTTAAGCCCCAGCCAGCACACTCTGGCTACCACTCACCGAGGAGGCGCTGCTACAAGACCTGGTGCGGCGTTTGTGGCAGTGGTGGGCGTGCTTGCGGGTCCGGTATGGCCCCCTCTCCCGCGATCGCCGACGATGACGAGAACGTGAAGATCCATAGTAGTCCTCTCCAAAGGATGGGCTCCGCTCTTCACACCGGTATGTATCGCTGTCACGGCGCTCCCGGTACCTCCTCTGGTAGGGCAGGCGGTCATGGCTGCCAAAAGGGGGATGGGGATGCTGGTCAGCTGGGTCCTTGCTGTTAGCAGGCAAGAGACCTGTGGTAGGGCCACTGTAAAGGGCTGAAGGGGGACAGCCTGTGCTAAAAGCATCCAGACTGGTGAGAAATGGCTGAGAGGGGAGGGTGCAAAGGTACTAAGCCTGCCCTCCAGAGCCCTGTCCAACAGCAGCATCCTCCAGCCATAGGAGGAGGGGTACAGGGGAAGGGGAGTATGGTAGAGGGCCTCCAAGGGTTCTACACCCTCCAGAGTTCCCTGTGGCCTGCTGCAACTCTTAAGTTTGGCCTGGGGGCTGAGATAGGCCCAGGGAACAACCTTTCCAGGGGTGAGGTTATGTTCCTAATCCTCACCGAGGAAGGCTTAGGAGGTTAAGCAGGAAAGTTGCCAGCCTAGAAAATGGGGGAATGTGTAGGGAGAAAAGGCACTCCAAAACAGAGAAAGACTGGGCGAGAAGGAAGGCAGCTACTGCTGAGGCCAAGGCATGCAGGTGAGGTTAGTGGAGGAGCCCAAACAGGACAGGGCAGGGATCCAAGGACAGCTGGGCGGGGATGGAGTCATCTCAAGGAGTCTGGAGTTGCCACAGCTGAGCCCAGCTGACAGAAGGAGCCTTTCCCTCCTATCTAGTTTCCTCTCACCTTCTGGACCGAGATCTCCGTGGGGGAGGCTCCCTTCGGGATGGGTATCGCAGTCTCCCTTCATGTTCCCGACTGTAGGACCTCCTCCTCTTCCATCGGTAGCTCAGGTACGGGTCTGGTTCAGGGGAGCGGTATCGCTTACAGTGATGCATCTAGACCACGAGGAACAGAAAGCCCTGCTAAATACACAGCCAGCCACCTCCAGCCATGGGGCTGCCTGGGGCTTCCCGGTTGCTCCTGAAGAGGCCCATTGTTCTGTTTGGAGGTGGCCCCTCCCAGAGGTTTATGAAGCAAGAAGAACTCTGAGGTCACACTGGTCAAACAGCAGACAATGGGAAACAACCTTCTCTGCCAGTGAACAAACAAACAGCTGCCTCCCAGCAGAGCATCACTGGCCTGGTGGCCTGAGTGCTCAGGGAACTGGGTGAGCCAGGGCCAGGGACTGAGGCAGGAACCCTGGGACGGTGAACACTACCGCAGGGAGATCAAAGGCAGGAGAAAGGGGAGCCTCCTGCACTCCATTCCCTCCCGCCTGGGGAGTCCCGTGAAGTGAATGCTCTATAAAGCCAGAGGCCAGGTAAAGGGCTGTTGGCATGGAGCCAACACACGGGAGGCGAGGGCTCAAAGACCTCAAGTTTGAGAAGCTGAACGCTGTCTGGCTGAGGCCCTGAACTGGACCCCATTCAAGGAAGTAAGGACCACAAGTGAGCATGAGGAGCCACAACAGAGACGAGAAGAGCAGCCCTTGGAGAAAGAGGCATACAGGCCTCAGGAACATTCCATAGCCCTCCTGAGGGTCTACCCAAGGAGACGTGGACCCAGGGGGTCTGTCCAGCCCCTGCTGGCTCATCCTGGGTCTCAGCACTGGGTAGGATGCCAAGGTCCTCAGAGTATCCAACTTTCTTGCCAGAGGCCCATTTAGTACCCTTTTACACCACCACAGTGCCCTGCCAGGTGCCTTGCCTTTATCCTACAGTACCATTACTGTCCCTTCTTCTAGCTCTCCCGCTCTAGTATCCTACCCTACGCCTATCTCAGAATAGCCAGAGGGTTAGTCGTCTGGCAGGTAAAAGAGCCTTGCCTCACTATCCCTGTTCAATGAGGACTTATATCCACCACATGAAATTGCCAGGCTGGATCCGCCACCAGCGGAGAAAGCTGGCTATGTGAGGCCAGCAACCTGCTCCACCCATACATGAACCCGACTGCCTCCATGGAGCCAGTCTTCTTCCCAACACTCACACTTGGCCACAGCCAACCTCCAGTCATGGTCAGTCCTGAGCTTGCCTGGCCAAGCACATTTTGTACAAACCCACTGAGGCTGCCCCATCTCATCAGCAGGGTCCGTCAAGAGAAGATCAGCATAGAACAGCTCCCCATGCATGAGCAGGACAGTGAGGCCTATGTGACCACACCCCTGGGAGCCTCTCCGTGTCCCTAAGAAAGCCCTCCATCTCCCCACTAACATGTCTTCCCCCATTTACCTGGGAAGTCTTTGGAGATAAACATTTTGTAAAATCACCTCCCCAGAAGCTTAGATTTGTTGTTTTGGTAATCAGTTGACTAATGTTTCACTGTTTTCCTGCAATTACTCTGGGTCAGGTGCCCAAGTTATGGAATGAAAGCAGTAACTCACATCCCACTAATTGACCCAGAAGATGCTCCACTGGCCAGGGCACATATCATGCCATAAGGCAAGTATGATCCTGCCCATCCTCACTGGGCAGACAAACACCAGAACTGGAGGACATGGTCACGGTCACACCAGGTCAAAGACTCCCTCCTGGGACCTAGAAGATTCTTATGTCCATACATATTCACATCAATGGAGAGCACAATTTCAGAGTCTTATAGATGTCCATCTGATTCATGGCATGCTACTTCTAGCTGTGTGCCTTTGAACAAATTATTACACTACTCTGACCATCAGCTTCCTCTTGCATCAAGGGAATAGTAATCTCTTACAAGGTTCTATGAGGATAAAATATGTCTGTCCTGTAAGTGAAAGGCCTAGCACAGCTTTGTGCCCACAGAGGTACTAGTGGCAGCTTTTCATGAATCATTTAAAAGTTCCAGGTAACACTTCAGGGGTGTGTTAAATGCCTTACAGACATTTTATAAGTCCCTTCCAAGGAAACTGGGAGGAGAGAGCTCTGGCAGAAAACTCTAAACTAAATCCTAGTGCTGTCACATACCAGCTTCATGACCTTAGACAAGGCACTCTAGGCCTTGGTTAGCACGCCTGGAAAACGGAGATAACATTTCCCAGCCTGGCAAAAGAGCTGAGAAGTATGAGAGTTATAAGGTACCGCACACAAAGCAGTAATAAAGAGTATCCTTCCTTTAACACATTCTAGGCAAGTAAAATATTGGAAATAGCAGATATCATCCTCCCAGCCAGGGCTCTAGGGCCTATTTCTCAATTATTTCTGATTCTCTAAAACCTCAGCAAACAGCTTGTTTAAAAAGCAGCTAAAGGCCACAATTATGCTTTGGGAAGCTCTGCTCTGCACAATAAGGAAAATGGTGATGTGAAGGAAACCAAGCCAGGGATGTCAACTTTGAGTACAGGCCTTGTCGGCTTCTCATTTGCTGTTCCTGGCCAGAGAACTGGGCTGACTAGAAGTGCAGCCAGCCAGGTCAGCGGCTGCCCTCCCAGATTCCAGCCACCCCAGCACCCATGGTTATTTTTGGCTGGCACTGCCCTACCACTGCAACCTCAAACCTGCCACCTAGCAAGCCTCCACCACCAACGGGTGAAACGCTTCTTCTTTTCAAGGACATCAAGGAGGGAAGCTGGAAGGCCGCCAACTCCGCCTCTGCTGGGGGCCTGGTTCAGGCAATTTCCACCCCAGCTCCACATCAGGGCACCCACACCCGGAACTAAAGCTAGAGACTCCCAGCAGGACGGAGGAGCAGCCAGGGGATTTGTACTGTCAGCTTGGCCCAGCCCATCCCCCGGGCTGGAGCGGCTCCATCACCACAACAAAACACACAAGGGGGCCTGCGCTATAGTTCGCGTCCCTTCCTGCCGCGCCAGGTCCCAGGGGTCTCAGAGTCCCCTCTCCTGTAACCGCCACCAGTGGCGCCGAGGGGAATCCCGGGGGCAGAGGCAAAGCCGAACTGGGCCAGAATCAAACTCCAGGCCGCCAAGGGAGGAGTCGTCTGTGGACCAAGTCTGAAGCCAGGGGTAGGGGAGGTGTCTGAAGGGTCTCTGGCTATTCCACGTCGGACCCGACCCCATTCCGCGGGCAGGCACAAAGCCTAAACTGGACTCTTGAGCGGCCCCAGAGACCGTTCAGGCTCCGCCTTCAACACCGCGGAATCGAGGTCAGGGTCCGCAGTGACCGCCCTCCGGGGCAGAAGCAGCGGGTCAGGGGTGAGAGGTCGAGGCTGCGGCCCGAGGTGGGCCGAAGAGGAGAAAGAAAGGGAGTAAGCCGAGACCGAATGGCACCAGCGCGCCTGCCCCGCCGACTCACCCCAGGCCGCCGCCACCGCTGTCGCCGCCGCGGGCCCCAGCCCACACTTACCGTCTCCCAGGCTCCGGCTGCAGCTAGGCCCCACTCCCCGCTCCGAGCGCTTCTTCCGCTTCCGGCTGCGACCTCCGCCCGTGGCGGCCCCGCCCCCTCGCGTGACGCAGGCGTCGCGAGCCCCGGCTCGACCCGGCTCGGAGGCCTGGCCGCTCTAGCCCCCGACTCGAAGGCTCCGGGACACCAGCCCTCTCCGCTCCGGTGGGCGCCGCGGCCTCGGAGACTAGTTCCGGGAGGGTCGAGGGGACGGGCCCGGCCCGGCCCGCCTCCCGCCGTGTCGCGGCGCACGTAGGTTCCCCGACCTGACAGGTGCGCGGCCCGGGCCGGCTGGGCTCTCAGAGCCGAGACGTGGGGCCCCGACCCGGCCGCGGGGCTGGGCCCGCTCCGTCGCCCCGACCCCGCGTGGTCCGCCAACTCCCTTCTGCGCGCGGAGAGGACGGGCATTGTTCTCGGGGCCCCGGAGAGCGCGAGAGCGGCCTGAGGTCTGTGCGCTGGGGCTCGGGAAGGCGGACGCGACTCCGCTTGCGCGAAACGAGCGAACGACACATTGTCTTGGTGTGTGCGGGTTTTTCGAAAGCCGTGGTGGGGCTCCCAGCTAGCCAGTGCGTGCTGGGCAGTTGCTGGGAAGACACCCTAGTGCTACTCTGGCGGGGCCTGTCGGCGGGGCCGGGGTCTGGCGGGGAGGAGATCCCCTCTCCTTGAGCCCCCTCCGGTGGAGCAGCTTCCTGCCAGCCTGCGTGGCCTCTCCGTTAAGACTCCCCCGCCAGACAAAACCCCCGCCAGCCGCATCTCCGGGCCACTGGACAGCCCCGTTTGGCAGAGGCCTCGAGCGTGAGGTCACCAAAATCCCTGACACCTACTGTCCCGCGCCAGGTCGGGCAGGATTACGAGGCCCTACTTTGCAGATGAGAAAACTGAGGTGGGGCTCTTTTGAGAGACCTCACTGTGAGCGTGCGCGTCCCTCCCGGTCTGGGAGTGGCGTCCCCGGCCTCGCGAGCGTCGTGCAGCAGAGCGACAGGGCGTGGCGCCTAATTGTCCCCACGCCACGCGAGGGCTAGAAACCCTCAGTCGGGGCGGACCATCCCTCCAGGCACCGCCCCCTCTTCGGGACCGCCCCGCGGGGGCGCCAAGGGTTTCCCCACCACCGTGGGGCTCCCCACCGGCCGGCCAGCCGCTGCCCAGCCCATACCCACTCCCCCGCGGGGCTGGGCCCGCCCCTGACGCGGGACGCTGTCGCAGGGGGGCCCCCCTTCCAAGCTGCGACTGTGCTTCAAGTCCTTCGCCAGCGGCTCTCCCTGAAACGGGGGATCTCACAGCATGATTTGTAGGGGTGTTTAGTATCCCCCAAATCTCTGCCAGCTCCACCACGGCTACCGGAAGTAAACAATAGACGCTAATTCAAAACTAGGTCCCCTTCCAAAAAATTACAAAAATTAGCCGGACTTGGTGGCGCGTGCCTGTAGTTCCAGCCCCTTGCAGCGGACTGAAGCAGGAGGATCGCTTGATCTCAGGGGGTTGAGATTGCAATGAGCTGTGATCACACCACCGCACTCCAGCCTGGGCGACAGAGCGAGACCCTGTCTCAAAAAACAGTTAAAAAATCTGCCAGGCACGGTTGTTCACGCCTGTAATCCCAGTACTTTGGGAGGCTGAAGTGGATGGATCACCTGAGGTCAGGAGTTCGAGACCAGCCCGGCCAACATGGCGAAACCCCATTTCTGCTAAAAATACAAAAATTAGCTGGACGTGGTGGCACGCGCCTGTAGTCCCAGCTGCTGGGGAGGCTGAGGTGGGAGAATCACTTGAACCCGGGGGGCAGAGATTGCAGTGAGCCGAGATCAGGCCACTTCACTGCGGCCTGGGCAAAACAGCGAAACTCCATCTCAAAAAAGAAAGTCAGGAGCCGCTTCGGTGTACAGGGGGTGACCCAGATCAGCTGCTGAGGTCCTGCCCCATAAGGTCCTACCTCAAAAGCTGAAGATTTTGAAAAATCCCAGGCTGTCTGAGATGCCATTCCTGCCTGGTCCCCATGGCCTCAGCCACACTAGCCAGGTTCCATCCCAGGGTTTCATCAGCTCAGATGAGGTGGGAGGCCTCTGTGGTGTCTCCTCCTCCCACCACTTAGTGTTGCCTGAGTTTCCATGGCTCCAGGATACCAGCCCTGAGGAATGGATGTTCTCAGAGAAGCTCCTGTCCCCAGCCCTGCCCTGAGCTCCAGGCTCTGATGGGGTAAGTTAGTCACCTTCCTACCAAACTGCCTACCATTAAGAATCCAGGAGTCCCTGCCTCCCAGTCACGAAGCAACTCTCTTTTTCTGAGGTGGAAAAGAAGCTATCTCCCAGCTCTCTCCCTCTCCACACTTTGCAGCCTGGAGGCCATCCTGCCTGGCATTCTACCCTTAGAGTTTCATTCTTTGGTGGCTTTCACAGCTTTCAGACACTTGGAGAAAGATGTGCCCCCAGGTGAGGTTTGGGTAACTCCTCCTCTCCCATCCCCACCCCAGAAGAGGCTTGCTGCACCTCCGCTGCCCCTCAGGCCCAAGCTCCTGTCTCAGTCCTCAGCCTCTGTGGAGGTGAGGACTGCAGCATATCTCAAGGGCACCTGGGGAGGTGCCGCTGCCCTGCATCCTCCCAAACCCCACAGCTCTTCTCACCCCTCTTGGTCTCCCTTTTGCCCCCCACCTCCACTTCCACTGAGCTTAGGGCTCAGCTCACTGCCTGCCAGGCCCAGCTGCTCTGATGCCCTCCTTGTCCTATTGTCCTTACTCTCTCCTCTGTCTGCCTCATCTGACTGTGACTTCTCTGGAGGCAGTTGATTCACCTCTGAGCCTTGGCCCCAGGGTCACCTCCCTGGAAAGCCTTCCTGGGGCTGCCCTGGCCTGCCCCCCTGCTCAGGACAATCTGGCCTGCATGTGCACTCCATTCTGTGGACCATGAGCCCCTCCCAGACCAAGCTGGGCACAGCTCAGGTTCTCACTAAGGGCAGGGGGCTGCCATGGAAAACCCATCACTACTGACTGGCAAGACAGTGCCTAGGCACAGTGGCATTGTGGGAACTGTGCCCAGTACGGGAGGTGGGGGCAGGGCCAGTCTTCATGGTCCATCTTAGAGAAGCCTTGTGTGGCAGTGATATTTTGGAGGGGAGGCAATTTTGGAGGGGCTGCAGGAGCCTGGGCCTGGAGTAAGGGGAGAGGAGAGTCAAGCTGTCCAGTGGGGAGAAGGCCTGGTGGGCGATGGTGCCATCCTGAGTGGAGAAGGCCTGGGAATGTGAGGAGTGGGGAGGTCAGGGTGGGGGTGGTAGAGGTGCCAGGTGTACCCACTGCTTAGGTGAAGACAACGCCTGTGTACTTTCAGAGCCTGGGCAGGGTGCCTCATGCCCAGGGTTGGGAGTCGGGAGGCAGTGGACTTGGGCCCAGACCCTAGAGGTGAGGAGGGTGATGGTGAGGGGTGTAGGGATGGCAACAGTGGCAGAACAGCCCCTGTCTACCCTCTGACCTCCCTCACCAAGCTGGTGGGTGAGAGATCCGTCAGGGCCTCCATCTTACAGCTGAAGCTATGGAAGGCAGAGAGGTACCTGAGCAGTGACTTGACTTAAAGGCTCTGACACCCACATCATAGCTAAACTGTGGGGTCCCCCAAATGCTTCCCTGCCATTTCCAGACTCCCACACTGGAAGGGGGAATGGGGCTCTGGTGCAGACGGTGTTGGGTGGGAATTGCAGCTCCTCACGGGACTCCCTGCCAAACTTGGGCACTGGCTTCCCTTCAGGAGTGCCTGCTGCACCTCCCCAGACCTGCTGCTGTGAGGATAATGGGGTTTGTGTTTATTTAGCAAGTGGCCACCCCTGGCAGCACCCACAGCTCATGGAAACCACAGGGAATTGAGAACTCTTTAGTGGAGTTGAGGCTGGTGTTTAGTGAAGTTCCAATCACCAGGAGACTTTCGGGCCAGAGGATCAGGGTTGAAGGGTTTTAGTGCGTGCTCAGCCACACTGCCTCAATTCTGAGTCTGAGAAGAGGCCTCAGAGCCTGGTGCTTTGGGAAGCCAGGACTGCCCCGATCTGTCCTGCTCTCAGGGCCCACTGAGGCAGAGCCTATGGACTTGATGCCCAGCCCTGCCCGCTGTCTCCAGAGCTCCTATTTCCTTGGGGCATTGGACCATGTCTGCCCACCAAGCCCCACTGAAGGGTGCAGGTGAGCATAGGGAAGTTGGGCACGGCAGCTCCCTTGGCCCCGGGCTGAAGTCTGGCTCCGCTCTCCCTGGCAGGTGCTCCAACAGGGCCCCCGAGCAGGACTGGAGGCAGTCAGAGAAGGACCAGTGGGAGCAGCTGGCAGAAAGCAGGCGGCAGAGGGCCGAGCTGGCCAACCATCTTCGGGCAGTGCTGGAGGCCCTTTTGGAGCAAGCCCTTGTGCTGCAGAGGCGAGAGCATGAGCTGGGACTCAGCTGGTCCTGAAGCAGAAAGTGAGGCCCTGTCCTCCCCCACTCCTTCTTCCTGGGCTTTCTGTAGCTGAAAGGAGGTCCCCTGAGCTACCAAGATCTCCTTAGCAGGCTGAAAGCTCCAGAATGCGCAGAGCCGGTGTCCACATCTGGTGCCATATTCTCAGGGAGGCCTGCCGGGGTCTGGGGCACCCAGAGGAAGGGAAATGGAGTCCCCAGCAAGGCTGCGGTGTTGAACAGAGATGTCTCTGAATGGTACCCCTGGAAGGGTGCAGGGTGTTGCCTGGGAGGCATATGCTCGGGGTGGCTAGGGACAGCGCTGGAGGTGAAGGAAGGGCCAGGGTCCCTGTGGCCCCCCAGGGAGAATCTGAGGGAGGGAGGGGCTGGTTTTAGCTCCATAGACTGAAGAGCTTCCTTAGAAGCGCAATCTCTCCAAGTGAAACAGGCGATCCCCAGAGAGGGGGAGATGACTGTGCAGGCTGAGGGTTCTTGGGAAGATTACCAGCATCCCTACCTCGTGTGAGGGAAAGGGACCGTGTGATGGCCCAGTTACCCAAGCCTTCAGTGACTCCGTGTCTTAGCTCACAGCTGGCCCTCATGGAGCCACTGCTCCCTTACTAGGCCTGGGGGACCCTTGGGACCTAGTTGACAACCTCATGTCTGCCCGCCCTTTAGCATGCCACAGCAGTTCTGCTGGCCTCCACCCTGAAACCGGTCAGCAGCTGGAGAGCAGCTGGAGAGGCAGTGTATCTCGGGCCCAGCTGGAGGCAGAGGATGCACAGCTGGAGCGTGTCGTGATAGATAACAGCCGAAAGCAGCCCCTCAGGGCCCCAGGGCACGGGTCCATGCTGGGCTGTCAGCTGGGCTGTTGGCTGCCAGTCTGCCTGTGTTATCAGAGGCTGCAGACACTGCCCTGCCTGGTGGGAGGCAGGGAAGCTACGCCTACCTATCCGAGGCTCTGTGCTGCCTTTGACCCTCCCACTCAGCCTCCTCCCAGCAGGTGGAGTGCTCCCTGGCCTGCCTGGAGCAGGAGAGGCACCAAAGGCAGGGATCCCAGGGACAGGCTGAGTGGAGGAGGCCAGACCAGGACATAGAAGACAAGTGAGTGGGGCTGGGCTGTGGGGGAGGGGTAAGGTGGCAGGGAACAGGCAGACAGTCCCTTCTACCCACAGGATCCTGCTGCTGCAGACAGAAGTGGAAAAGGCCCAGTGGCGTTTGGACCAGATGACCCACAGCCTCTTGGCCCAGAGCCCAGCCCGGGGATACCCCAAGTGGGTGCATGGCAGGCCGTGAGCACTGGCCCTGCCATACCTTTGACCCTGCCCTACACTTTATTCTCTGGTCCTCATTATTGGAGCATTATCTGGAGAAGGAGGGCAGCACAGGGGCTTAGTCCAGCCCAGAGAGGGATCCTCTTCCAACATTTGGGAATACCCTGGGATCATTCAGTGACTTCCCTCCTGGTTCAGATGGGAAACTGAGACCAGAGGGCAGAGGAGAGCTTGTTCAGAGTCATAACTTGAGTTGGGGCCAGGACCCTGCCACAACATGCCCTGAGGCATCAAGGGTCTGCCTAGACTACCCCAGTGTGGTCTGGAAGCTGGAAGGAGACCCCAGGATTCTGGACCAAGTGTATCCACGGGAGATGCTGGTGCCAGGCCTGCAGATCCAAGAGCAGAGCTGGGATGGAGGCAGGGCCCAGGAGCTTTGGGACCCAGACAGAGTCTTCATGCCAGCAGCTGAGACCCCTGCCCAGGCTCAGGACACAGTCCATCTGCAGGAACAGTTACTGATGCTCACTGAGGTTGGTCAAGACAGCTGGCAGGGGCAGCCCCACAGGAAAGGGAATCTGGGCATTAGCTGATCCAGGCCATGCCCATCTGTACCAGGGGGCAGAGGCAAGGGAGCCTGGGCCCCATTCCTGGGGGATTCCAGTGTAGGGCGAGGGGATCTAGGGGCACAGAGGAAAGGAGAATGACAAGGAGAGACAGATTCTAGCAGCGCGTCCACACAGTGAGACTCCAGAGAGCACCATCCTCGTCCTCACATAACTGGCCCCCCTGCTAGTGTGCAGCCAGGCGCTGGTTCAGAGTCATCGCCTGGAGTGTAGAGGAGACTGCGGGCTAGGGTGGTTAGAGAGGCCTCCTGGAAGGGCTGAGACCCAGATGAAGTGGAGTTTGGGGCCTCTGAGGAGAAGAAGGGGCTGCATGGGTAAAGGCTGGAGCCCCACAACCCTGGTGGAGGCTGAGCCACAACTGGGTGGGGTAGAGGTCTCCCCAGGTGAACAAGAGACTCAGAAGAGCTGGGCCGGAGCTCCCAGCAACTGGGGGCCTGCTTGGAGCATTTGCAGCATCTGTAGGGAGAGCAGATGGTGTTGGGGGGCTGTGTGCAGGCCCTGGAGGCAGAGCGCACCTGGCTACTTCTGGAGAAGGTGGTGCTGCTAGCAGTAGTGGGTGTGGCCCCGGGCCAAGAGGCCTGGTAGGTGGCTGCTTGGGCCCATCCTCAGACTGTCCAAGCCAGGCTGGGGTGGGTGCTCTGTTCTCACCATGGGTGAGATGGCCCTCTCAGCAGGCGGTGGGCCAGCCTCTGTCACCAGCTGGCTGAGGGGGAATGGCCCAGAGCCCTAAACCCGGAATCACTTGACCAGAGCCAGTCTTCCTTCCCCAGGTATCAGCGCTCCTGGTTTTCACATTCTGACTCTTATGGGGTGGGAAATCTTTCAGCTTCAAGAAGTCCTGTCTCGCCTACACATGGCCAAGCCCCTCCTGCTGGCCCAGGGGCAGGTGGGAGGTGGGGGTGAGATGACCTTAGCTGCTGGGTGCAAGTCAGGGTGCTGGAGAGTGGAAGTGCCCAGTACAGAGGGGTTCTGTGTGTTCAGGGAGCCATGAAAGAGGCATCTCTGCCCCACTCCCTGTCCTAGCTCATAAGACATAATAATCATTGAAAGGGAGTGGGGTGGGGGTGATCTGGGGTCCATGCTATACCTGGACTGCCCCATTTCTTCCAGTACACTCCAGGTCCCGGAGGTACCAGTGCCCCTCAGGAAACAGCTAGAAGCACAAGAATCACATCCCAGGCTTCATGAGGAGATGGCTGAGTACTGGAGGACACGCTGGCACCAGGTGGCAGTTGCCCTGAAATTTAAAGAGGAGGAATTGCAGAGACTCCAGAGGCAGAGTGGGACCTGGCCTCCCCAGGTGGGCACTCTCTGTCTCTCTCCTTCTTCTCCACCCCCCACAACCCTGTTCTCCCCATTGTCTTCCCCACTGCCCAGTCTTTCCCATACAAACCAACTAATCTCTTACCCCCTCGTTAGGATGCCCCCATCTTGATCCTATACTTCCTTCCCATTTTCTGGCTCTTCCTCATCATGCCTCATCATTCTCCATCCATGTGTTCAGCATGTATTTATTGAGCATCTGCTACATGCTTGGCCCTCTTCTGTGTGCAGAAGCAATGTCAAATCAGATCACTCCTTGTCCTCAACAGCTTATGGTTTGCGGGCACCCGGTAATTGAGCAAGCAATTATTTATTTATTATTGGTTGATTTATAATTGATTGATTGATTGCATCACAGTCTCTGTCACCCAGACTGAAGTGCAGTGGTGCAATCATAGCTCACTGCAGCCTCGAACTCCTGGACTCAAGCGATCCTCCTGCCTCAGGTAGCTGGGACTGCAGGCACGCATCACCTTGCCTGGCTAAGTTTGTTTTTGTTTTTGTTTGTAGAGATGGGGGGGTCTCACTACATTGCCCAGGCTGGTCTCGAACTCCTGACCTCAAGCAGTTCTCCCACCTTGGCCTCCCAAAGTGCTGAGACTACAGGCATGAGCCACTGTGCCTATTTTGTAAGCAATGATAATTTAATGTGCCAGATGAGGGAAGAGGCACAATGGGAGTTGGTTAAGGGGTGGCAGATAGGAGAGTCCCTCCCAGAGAAGGGGTTTCTGAGCCTCTGAACCCTCACACAGGATAGACAGGCATTTCCAGGAGGAGAGAGGGAATGAAGGGCATTTCAGCAAGAGGAAACTGCATGCGCATACACCCAGAGAGACAGGTGAGGAGTGTTGTAAATAGTCCCTGATCCAAATGAGGAGGAGAGTGGGTGCAGGGGTTACTATGGACATGGGACAGGGGCCACATCTAGGGTTTAGATGTCCCAGCTTCTGTCCATCTGACTCAACTCCAGCTTGGTGGCTGCCTTCTCCTGGTCAGCATCCGTAAGTCTCCTGGGCAAGTGTATGTATGCATGGGCAGACAGACACACAGACATGCATGCACATACACCCCCCAAGATACATATCAGACATGTGCAGACACCCCCAGATATGCACACAGAGACACACAGAGAGAGACAGACATTAGCCATTATGATTGCAATGAGGTGCCTGGAAGCCATAGGGAAGTAGTGTTCTAAGGACCCCAGGTGGGATCCACACACTGCCACAAGACCCCCGACCGAAGCTGATGTGCTGATCGCAGTGGAAGGAAAAGGAGATAAAGTTTAGCTGGACTTGGGCCTCAGAAAAGGCTGAGTTGGTCTAAATCAGTGTAGCTCAAACAGGTACACAGCTGTGCTCAGAGGGGGCTGTTCCTAAAATCAGAAGTGTAGTCTGCCATTTTATATTTGTACAGAAGAAAAGCTCAGGTTTTGTTTTTTGTTTTTTGTCTATTTCTCAAACCAGACCCTTGAGGGTCAGAGGATATATCCTCAGGGCCTGGATGAGCTATATTCTTTGGTCAAGTCTGAGGATCTGCAATGGACGGTGTCAGTGAGAAGGTAGTGGAGTGACAGAGGGCTGGGCCCTCGGCAGATTCGTCTCCTAGCAGGAAGTGGTGCTAGGTGAGCCAGATGCACTTAGCCTGCACATGATGCATAAGCCAGTGCCAATTTGGGCCCCATGTGTAGGGCCTTCCAGCCCCTCAGAGACTGCCCAGGCCATTTCTGCTCCCTCCCTGGACCCCTAGAAGGCCAACCCAGGATTCATCTACGGGCAGGTGGGGACCCTGGGCTCTGGGCCTATCCAGTGAGGATGGCCTAAAATGCAGACCCTGGGTCCTAGGCAGGGGTCCTGTGCAGAGTGGCTGATGGACCAGACTAGCAGCACGCTTCCAGCAGGGCGAGGCTCTCAGAGATGGGGCAGCAGCTGGATAGGGTCTGGATGAAGCCATATTACATGAACGTCCGGATGGCCAGGGGGTTTGAGGGCTCGACGCCCAGTGCTCCCAGGGCCTCTGGTACGCTCCACCTCCAGTCCCATCCCCAGCCTCAAGCTCCTCCACCTGACCCTCTCTGGGTCTCTACCTCAGTCTGTCTTCAATCCCAGGATTCAGTAGTCTGCACTGTCCCCAGATTAGTGGCTAAGATTGTGGGTTTAAATCTTGGCTCCACAATATACTAGCTGTGTGACCTTGGGCAGTTACTCTGCCTCTCTGGGCCTTATCTGTAAAAGTGAAAATAACAGTTATCTTCCCTGAATGGGTGCCTAAGAGGGTGACATTTGACAAGCATGTGAAAACACATGGTATTCAGTCATGAAGCATTAGCCACTGATTGCACACTTCCTGGTGCTGCGGTGTGGCCGCTTTGAGGAGAAAGTTCTGCTCAAAATCAGGGTCCCTTTTGGGGCCAGAGAGCTGCCACATGGGGCTGGATCCCACTTACCCTGTGTGAGTTTGCTAGGGCTGTGGTAATAAAGTGCTGAAGATGCTAGCTTCAACGGCAGGCATTCATCGTCTCTTGGTTCTGGAGACTGAAGTTCACGTCAGAGTGTCGGCAGGGTTGGTTCCTCCTGAGGGCTGTGAGGGAGGGTCTGTTGTAGGCCTTGCCCCCAGCTTCTGGTGCTTTGCCAGCAGTCTTTGACATTCCTCCTGGGCAAGGGATGTCTGTGTGGCATCTCCCTGTGTGTGTGCCTGTGTCCACATTTCCCCTTGGTATAGGACACTGGTCACCTTGGATGAAAGCCCAGCCTATTGACTTCATTTTAGTCTGATTACCTCTGTAACGATTCTGTCTCATTAGGAGGTACTGGGGACGTCAGTATATTTTTTTGTTGTTGCAGGGGATGCAGTTCAACCCAGAACGCCTCCAATTTGCTTCCTGCTACCTTCCTGGCTGGGTGGTTTGGTTTGGGTGTGACTTGGGACCTCAGGCTCCCAGCTGCTCCCTCTTGCTTTTCCCATCATGTAACCACAGGACCCTCACGCAGCTGCAGAGAGGCCAGACTGTGTGCTGAAGGAGCTGCCGTGAGTCTGGGTGGGCACCACCCAGTGAGCCCCCAGGCCCCTAGTCCACAAGCCAGCCAGGGAGGGCAGGCCAGGGCCCAGGAGGAGATCCGCTCCCCTCTGCAGGCTGGACCTGCCCAAACCCAAGAACCAGGGTGAGGGTTTCTGCAGGCATGAGAGGATGGGGTAGCAGGGCCCCTAGATGGGAATGCAGCCTGCCCCTCCCTGGCCAGCCACAGGAGCAGGATGCAGGCTCTGGAGAGGGAGAACGACCAGATGGCTGCTGGGATCCAGAGGCGAAAGGTAGGCAGGAGCTGGCTGCTTGGGGTGGTGCGAGGTGGTCCCACCTACTGTCAGGGCCCCCAAAGAACCCCTCCTGAGGACCCTAGAGCCCTCCCCAAGCCTGAAGTCAGGGACTTGTGCAATAAAGTGGAGGCTCGGGCTGTACCACAGCCACAGCTCTTCTCATGGGGCCTCAGCTTCCTGTGTGTTTAATGAGTACCAGGGTGCTCAGGCCCAGGGGTGTGGGGCCTCCAGGGCTACTATGGCCCATCTGTCCATGAACAGAAAGGGCCTTGCCCTCCAGCCTGAGCTGGGTGCCTGTGGGCAGGAGCAGGACTTTGGCTGCCACTGGCACCAGAACCCTCAGCACCAGCTGCTAGGGGTGAGGGTTGGGTGCCCCCAGGTCAGGGTGGCCTGAGCCTGCCCACCCAAGGACAGGTACATAAGGATCTGGACAATCCTGGCCGGGCGCGGTGGCTCATCCCTATAATCCCAGCACTTTGGGAGGCTGAGGTGGGTGGATCACGAGGTCAAGAGACTGAGACCATCCTGGCCAACATGGTGAAACCCTGTCTCTACTAAAAATACAAAAAATTAACCAGGCGTGGTGGCAAGTGCCTGTAATCCCAGCTACTTGGGAGGCTGAGGCAGGAGAATCACTGGAACCCTGGAGACAGAGGTTGCAGTGAGCCGAGATCATGCCATTGCACTCCAGCCGGGGCAAAAAAGAGCAAAAACTCTCTCTCACACACACACACACACAAAGAATCTGGACAATCCTGCCAGCCTGAAGGGAGGGCAGCCACCTGCCTTCTTCCCACAGGGCAGACCCCAGCAGAGACCCCAGGCCAGGCTCCAGAGTCTGCAAAGGGAAGGTGGGTCTCACCTCACCCCTGCACCACCCAGCCCACTGTGGCTTCTCCTGGGTACTACACAGGTATTTACCTGAGTGGGCACCAGCCAAGCCCCACCCACACGCCTCCGGCCCCACAGCCTGTGGGTGGAGCCACTGGGAATCCTCACTGGCTGGTCAAGCGACAGGGGTTCCACAAACACCAATGGAGATTCCAGTCCCAGCTCTGCCACAAACTGGCCAGTGGCCTTAGCCAAGCCCCTCACTGCTCTGGGGCTCAGGTTCCATCTGTACTTTGGGTGTGGTGCCTGGGGGACTCTGGAAGCTCTGACACTCAGTAATCCTATGACCCTGTTCAGTTTACTCACTGGGTCACTGTCCCTGCGTCACAGTCTCCCCAGCTCTATAGAACTGTGCCTGTGCCCCAGCTGAGTTGCCCAGTGGCCTTGGTGGAGCTAATGATGCACAGAACGGGGTGGGGGCAAGGGGACAGGGTCCTACTGTCCCTGCCACATCCCAGCATCGTTTCTGTCTCCCATACCCCAGGAGCTGTGGGACCCCAGTTCTGCCAAGGAACTGGAGTCTGCAGTGTGGACTCTACCAGAGGCCAATGGGTGAGCTCAAGGGCAGACTGGGGTGGAGCTGGGACAGCCCCCTCCAGCGGTGAGAGCTAGTGTGGGGCAGCCCTGGTTGCCTTCCCTGAGATCAGGCTGGATGGAAGTGGGACCTCCCAGGCAGAGAACTTGGCTGTGGTCTCCCATTGCCATGTGGACTGGGCCCTCTGGGACCACACTGGGCCCTTGTTTCCAAGAGCTGGAGGAGCTGAGACAGGGGCCATGTGAAGTGAAGACAGGGCCTGGGCTGGGCAGGGCAGGGGATGGTGTAGGGAGCTTGGCTTGTTGGAACCAATGAATCGGGTTGGGGGTTCTCCACTGAGCACCGAGGACTCAGCCTAGATTCATCCCAGGCCTGGAACCCCGGCTGCCCTGTCCTCGTACAACCTCAGCGTGACCCTGAGAGGGGACTAGGCATCACTCCTTGGCAGGGTGGACTCAGCAATGGAGGTGATGAAACAAGTGCGTTGGGGAGCAAGGCTCTGCGGGCCTAACCCTGTGCAGGGAACCTGTACGGGGACCCTGGGAAGGATGTGGAGATGGAGGGCGATGTGAGGCCTGCTCAGGGGCTCCTGGGCTAGGCAGTACTAGCCGTATGGGGAGCGCTGTGGGAATCAGGGTAAAAGAGGGAAGTGAAGGATTAGGGGTTCAGGGCAAGTGTTCTGGACTTCAGTCACCTGCACAGCTTGGAGGGGAAGGTGAGCCCTCTTGCCCCCTCCCCTGGTGCTGTTTCGTCAGCACTGCACCTGATACCGCCATGGGGGCCTCTTTGGGGCGAAGCACAATCCCTAGAAAGGCCCCTGTGAGGCTGGAGCTCTGAATCCAAGGGAGAGTAAAGTTCTTGGGGAGGCCCCAGATCAAGACATGCTGCAGCCCCACCCTCCTACATCCCAGACTTCTTTGCAGATGGGTTTACAGCTGGCTGAGATGCGGACTGAGCTCGAGAAGGTCTGCAGTGTGCTGGAAGCTTGAGACTCAGAGCTGAGAGCTCAGCAGTGGGTCCTGGAGGCTGTCCCCCTGCAGTGTGCTTCTGACTGGCCCCCACAGGCTCCCCCATGCCCAATCCCTGGTGCCTGCCACATGGTGCCTACCATGGCCTTGACCTTCCCTTCCTCACACTCTTGTCACTCAAGTTCCTCCCAAGCCCTCGCTGCCCATGGGAAGGGCTCAGCCTGGAATGTACTCACTGTTTCCCCCCACCCACCTCCAAGCTGGTGGAGAGTCTCCCTGAGAAACTGAGGCTGCAGCAGCAGCAGCTGAACAGGAGCTGGTAGAGAAGCAATGACCGCAGGGTGATGGGTGCCTGTGTCTGAGGGGCTCTGGGGGGAGAAACCCCACCCTCCCAGATACTCCTCAGCCCCCACAGTTCTCCCTCTTCTCTGAGAACCTGGGGCAGGGGGGCAGAGGCATTTAGGGACATGTTGTGGAGGCTGCCATCTCATCCCCACAGGGGTTAGGACGGGTGGGACTGAGCAGCAGCCTGAGGCCTGATCTATCTCCTGGTCTGCCTTCTCTCTGAAGAGGGGAAGCCAGGGGAAGCAGCAGCAGGAGGGGTATGGCAGGGTAGGCTGTGGGGCACAGGGAATCAGGCCATCTGGGCCCCTGGACCTGGAGCAATGAATGGAAGGAGAGTGGCCGTAGAACCGAGAAGTTTTTTGTTTTTTTTTTTTTTTTTTTTTTTTTTGAGACGGAGTCTGGCTCTGTTGCCCAGGCTGGAGTGCAGTGGCCGGATCTCAGCTCACTGCAAGCCCCGCCTCCCGGGTTCACGCCATTCTCCTGCCTCAGCCTCCCGAGTAGCTGGGAGTACAGGCGCCCGCCACCTCGCCCGGCTAATTTTTTTTGTATTTTAGTAGAGACGGGGTTTCACCGTGTTAGCCAGGATGGTCTCGATCTCCTGAACTCGTGATTCGCCCGTCTCGGCCTCCCAAAGTGCTGGGATTACAGGCTTGAGCCACCGCGCCCGGCCTGAACCAAGAAGTCTTACACTTCACTCTCCACCACTCCCGAGCTTGGCGAGCATGAGCAAGTCTTGCCTTTGCTAAGCCTTAGTATCCTTCTCTGTAACATGGGAACACAGACAGTACCTATGACGTGGGATTGATGTGAGGATGACATGGGACACAGTGCACCGAGGACCGTGCCTATGTTCTCCGTCCTCCTTGGTTTCTCCTGTATCTGGGGTCCAGTTAGGCTGAGTCAGTACCAAAGTCATAAAATCACATATATGTGCCCAGGGGCGGCTGCATATGGGCTTTAGTCACAAAGTGTTTTTTTTTGTTTTTTTTTTTTTTTGAGATGGAGTTTTGCTCTTGTTGCCCAGGCTGGAGTGTAGTGGCATGATCTTGGCTCACTGCAACCTCCGTCTTCTGGGTTCAAGTGAGTCTCCTGCCTCAGCCTCCTGAGTAGCTGGGATTACAGGCATGCACACCACGCCCGGCTAGTTTTGTATTTTTAATAGCGATGGGGTTTCTCCTTGTTGGTCAGGCTGGTCTCGAACTCCCGACCTCAGGTGATCCGCCCACCTCGGCCTCCCAAAGTGCCGGGATTACAGGCATGAGCCATCATGCCCAGCACAAAGCCTATTTTATGCAATGTTCAATCTGCAAGGCTTTGTTTGCACTTCTTGGGATATTCAGGAAATAGTTTGATGTAATGCAGAGCTGCCAGTGACAGACAATACAGCACATTCCCAGGCTGGCGACAGCTACTGGCTTGTGCTTAAATACCATTTCATTCTGACCAAGGTCATCGTCTTTGAGCTCCTGCAATGAGGAGCTCAGTAGGGTGGTGGATGCTGTCCTCTGCCTCAGCTGCTCTTTGGAGGCTTTCATAAAAGAGGGTCAGAGCCACCGATGGCGTCTGGGAGACCCTAAGAGTTCTGACTCTCAAGCTGAGAATTATGTCCTCAGGGAGTGGGACCTGCTGCAGGTCTGAGCACCAAGGGCTGCAGCACCAGGAGGACAGGAGCCTCCAACCATCTCCACAGCCCCTGAAAGGTAGCATATGGGGACCCTCTAGATGGGGTGGGGAGTGACCTCTGCCCAGTTCCTTTCTGTCCCATGGCCTTCCCGTCTGCAGGTTGTAGAGGGGAAATAGAAGGCTAGAAAGGCCCTTCCAGCTCAGGCTGTTACTGGTTCTAAATGGATTCCTGAGCTGGCCTTCCTGTCCCTGGACAGAGCGGAAGCTACCCCCTGCCCTGCTTCTCTGACCCCCATGGTATCAGCCTCTGTCTTATCTGCCCCCAGATCCCAGCCACAGCCCTGGAGCCCAAGGAAGGGCATCTGAGAAAAGTTGGAAGCCAGGGGCAGTGCCCAGGCAGTGTAGACTGTGCCGAGTCAGCCAGGGGCAGATTCACAGCCTCACTCTGCAGCACAAGAGCTTGAGGTCAGGCCCTGCATCTCTGCCCAGTGAGCTGAAGGGTCCTGGCATAGACAGGCTGAATTGAGAGGCCTCAGTGAGTTGGGCACGGTGGCTCACACCTGCAATCCCAGCACTTTGGAAGGCTGAGGCAGGTGGATGACTTGAGGCCAGGAGTTCAAGACCAGCCTGGTTAACATGGGGAAACCCTGTTTCCACTAAAAAATACAAAATTAGCTGGGTGTGGTGGCACGTGCCTGTAATCCCAACTATTCAGGGGACTGAGGCAGGAGAATCGCTTGAACCCAGGAGGCAGAGGTTGCAGTGAGCCAAGATCACACCACTGCACTCCAGCCTGGGCGAGAGTGAGACTCTCTCAAAAAAAAAAAAAAAAAAAAAAAAAAAAAAAGGCCGGGCGCGGTGGCTCAAGCCTGTAATCCCAGCACTTTGGGAGGCCGAGACGGGCAGATCACGAGGTCAGGAGATGGAGACCATCCTGGTGAACACGGTGAAACCCCGTCTCTACTAAAAATACAAAAAATTAGCCGGATGTGGTGGTGGGCGCCTGTAGTCCCAGCTACTCGGGTGGCTGAGGCAGGAGAATGGCGTGAACCCAGGAGGCGGAGCTTGCAGTGAGCCAAGATCGCACCACTGCACTCCAGCCTGGAGGACAGAGCCAGACTCTGTCTCAAAATAAAAAAAAAAGAGGCCTTAGGCAATCGCGGCTGGGCAAAGACTTGGGAAGAGGGGAGGCCCCTTTGGCTGTGCCTTAAGCCCCCAAGGCCAGGATTTCTATGAGACCTGAGACCTGGAGCCTGTCATAGGCAACTGCAGTCAGAGAGGCCTCCCTGGCAGAAACCACTCCTTGTCCCCTCCCTGCCACAGGCCTGAAATGTCCCATGTTATATGACTCTTGGTGGATGAGACCACCTGACACTTTCCCAGGGTACCCTGTGGCTAAGAGTAGAGTTGAGCAGGCAGTGCCCAGCACCACAGGGGGTGCTGCGGGACTGTAGGCTTGGTTGGCCCAATTACTGCCCTAATGCCATAGGACAGTGCCTACCAGGGACCCCTTATCTTGCCAGGGAAGGCCTTAGGCACTGTGCTTTAGACATTTCAAAGAGTTCTCATTCACTTGTGTCTCTGATCACACTAGAGTCCCCATTTCACAGACTGCCTGCCCAGAGAATTTGTCATAGGTCACACAGCAAACCAGCAACTAAGCCCGCTGGTCCCCTAATCTGCCCCAGAAAGGTAGTTTCTCAACTGTTCTGAGCTTGACAGCATGACCATCCTCAGGAGCCACAGGCAAAGTGGGCTGAGGCTTGGCATTCCCCTCGAGGTCATCTGGCCATTCTGAATGCCCCTCCCCAGCCTGCTTCCTCCGGCTGAGCCATGTGTCCCCGGAACCCTTCTCAACTCTGTTGCCCACCCCTCCCTCCATCTGCGCCTTCAGTGAAGCAGTTTCTCAAAGGAGGGGTCCTTGGTACCGTGGAGGGACAGGACACCTCTGGGAATTCGTACCCAGGTGCGTTCATGCTGAGTTCTTCATGACCACTCCTTCCAGCCTCAGCTTGTGGATCCAGAGCTGGGTACTGAGCCGTACTGGACCAGTGGGCCCCCTCCTGGGATCGCTGGACTTGGAGCAGAAGAATTCCTCCAGGACTGGACTGGACACACAAAACTTGGGAACTGTCAACTGCCCTGTTATTCACCTCGTGAAAAAAGCTGGATTTAAATGAGAGCGAATGGAGCTGACAATTCCCAGAAACTCGAATTGAGATGGTGAGATTTTAGTTCAGCCCAGGGCGGTCTCATGAGTGGGTGGTAAAGTTGAGCTTTGAGGTGGTCTTCAGAAGGAGAGGAATACCCTCCGCGGGCAGAGCTTCCCGGGTTCCGGGCCCTTTGGGACGTCAACACAGGTCTAGCTGCCCTTAGGCTCCTCCGCACACCCTGGTTCCAATAATAAATCCCTTTCCTCTCTGCCGCCATTGGCCTGACTGGCTTCGGTTACTTTGCACAAAGAAACCTTGACAAGCAAACGTCCCAGGTGCTGCTCCAAAGGAGACCCCTGTCCTCCTAGAAGCCCCTCCCTGAGGCCGGGTATACACTCGCCGCCCGCAACCCTCACCCTAGCTCCAGCTTCTGCTCCTTTTCCTGCCCACCCCGCCCAGTGAGGAGATCGGCACCCCTTGTATGTGTCTGTGTCTGCCGGGGTTCGTGCCTCACTGTCTCCAAGCCCGGCTTCTATCCCTAGTCCCTTCCTGTTCCCGCAACTCCTGCTTGCTTCCTTCTCCCCTTCCCTCCAGCGGTGGTTCCAAACCTTCTCTTCCATAAGACCCTCGATTCCGTTTCCCAGGGACCCAGGTGTACCCCCTCGCTGTAGTGGGTTTCCCTCCGCGCAGCGCGGGCAGTCGAAGGTCATTCCCGGTCACCCTGCCCGCTAGCTCCCATTGGCTCTGGGGAGGGCACGTGACTCAATCCTGGCCAATGGCGTGGTGGGGCCTGTGGCTTGTAGCCGAGCAAGCTTTTCTTTCTTTCTTTTTTTCTTTTTTTTTTTTTTTTTTTGAGACGGAGTCTCGCTCTGTCGCCCAGGCTGGAGTGCAGTGGCCGGATCTCAGCTCACTGCAAGCTCCGCCTCCCGGGTTTACGCCATTTTCCTGCCTCAGCCTCCCGAGTAGCTGGGACTATAGGCGCCCGCCACCTCGCCCGGCTAGTTTTTTGTATTTTTTAGTAGAGACGGGTTTTCACCGTTTTAGCCAGGGTGGTCTCGATCTGCTGACCTCGTGATCCGCCCGTCTCGGCCTCCCAAAGTGCTGGGATTACAGGCTTGAGCCACCGCCCCCGGCCCAGGCAAGCTTTTCTAGGAGCTTCTGGAGGCTGTCCGGGGATCCTCGGCTGAGCGCAGCGTAGCATAGCAGAGATCCTGGGGACAACCAAGGTTGTCCCCAAGAGGGAGAGGCACCTCTCCTCTTGGAGGGAGGCAGAGGTTGTCTCCCTCTGCCTCCCTCGCCCCTTCCCCTCCCTGAAGGGGAGGACTTGGGGGAGAGGTTAAAGGCACCCGCTTTGGAGTCCCGCCCCAGCCTTGCCATTCACTAGATATATGACTTCCAGCACATTTCTATTCCTCAATTTCTTCATCTGAAAAATGAACAAAACAACTAGCTTGGCAGAGCGCAGTGACTCACGCCTGTAATCCCAGAATTAATTTTGGGAAGCCGGAACGAGAGGATCGATTGAGCCCGGGAGTTTGAGACCAGCCTGGGCAACATAGTGAGACCTCGTCTCTATAATTTTATAACAAATAATTTAAAAAAAACAAAAAAACAAAAAAACCTGCCTTATGGAGCTGTGGGTAGAGTATGAAATGAGATAACTTGTATAGAGGGCTTAGCACTTGTGTTCAGGGCACAGGCTCTGGGCCCTGCAGCCACTGAACTACAGCCCCAGCTCCTCCGCTCCCTAGCTGTGGGACCTCACCACACCAGGTTCAATTGGTAGCTTCACAGCCAACCTACTATGCAGTCATCAGTGCTGTGTGAACCTTCCTGCCCATCTCTTGGGGCACAAAAGTAGGAGTAAAATTACAGGGTTCTAGGGCCAAGTGCATGATCAGCTTTACTAGGTAATGCCAAAGTGTTTTCCAAATTGGTTAGCCCAAGAGTGTGAGAGGTCCTGCTGCTGCTCATCCTTGCCAGGACCTGGTACGGTATGACTTTTGTGTCTATCCAGTAGTGTGAGGTGGTTTCTTGCCCATTTCCCTGATCACGAATGAGGTCAAGCCATTTGTATTTTCTTAGACAAAACATCTATTTGTGACTCTACCCCCTCTCCCTAACTCTTACTTTTTGCTTTTGTCTTAAGAATAAGCATTAAAAAGAAATCATTGTGGGCTGGGTGCACACCAGCATGCCTGGCTAATTTTTATTTTTATTTTTTTATTATTTTTTTGAGACGGAGTCTCGCTTTGTCGCCCAGGCTGGAGTGCAGTGGCACCATCTTGGCTCACTGCAAGCTCCGCCTCCCGGGTTCACGCCATTCTCCTGCCTCAGCCTCCGAGTAGCTGGGACTGCAGGTGCCCGCCACCACGCCCAGCTAATTTTTTGTATTTTTAGTAGAGACGGGGTTTCACCGTGTTAGCCAGGATGGTCTTGATCTCCTGACCTCGTGATCCACCCGCCTCGGCCTCCCAAAGTGCTGGGATTACAGGCGTGAGCCACCGCGCCCGGCAACCTGGCTAATTTTTAAATTTTGTTATGTAGAGAGGAGGGTCTGGCTATGTTGCCAGGACTGGTTTCAGACTCATCAAGTGATCCTCCCGCGTTGACCTCCCAAAGTGCTGGGATTACAGGCATGAGCCACCGCGCCCAGCCACTCATTTAATCCAGCTTTTAATTTAATTGAAGGGTCTAGCTTGAGAAATTCTTTAGGTCAAGATATTCTCCAATATTTTCTTCTTAATTTGAAAAGGATCGGAGATTCATCATTTCTATTGGATGCCACTTCTGCCAGAAGTCTCCCAGGATCCCCGCCTCGCCAGCCACCACGTGCTGTTTCCATCTCAAATGCCTCTGGGCCTGGTTCTGCTCTTCATCACTCAGCTCCCTCCTAGACGAGTCCTTTTAATTTCCATGTGGCCAGAAGTTGTGAAGTGTGATACCAATGAGTGGTTACCAGTGAAGTACTATAGTACCATTTTTTTTCCACAAGATTAAAAAAAATCAGCAATGGACGCTCAAGACTGTCCCAATGTCACCCTCTTTTTCTAGCATTTCAAAATGCCAGAGGCTGGGTGTGGTGGTTCACACCTGTAATCCCAACACTTTGGGATGCTGAAGCAGAAGGATCATTTCAGCCCAGGAGTTCAAGACCAGCTTGGGCAGCGTGGCAAGACCTCATCTCTTCAAAAAGTTTTTAAGAAAAAATTAGCCAGGCGTGGTGGCATGCACCTGTAGTCCCAGCTATCTGGGAGGCTGAAATGGGTGCCGCCTCAGCCCAGTTTGAGGCTGCAGTGAGCTATAATTGTGCCACTGCACTCCAGCCTGCATGACACAGCAAGACAATGTCTCAAAAACAAAACCAAACCACATATATATGTATGTATACACACACACAAAAAATAAAAAACGCCAGATAGGAAACCCTGCTAGCCTGACTTCACGTGGTTACCTAAACAGGTGTCGTCAGTACGTTGTTAAGGATGGCGGAGGCAATTACCAGTCCACACAAGGCCTGCCTCTCTGCACATCTTCAGAGTATGCCCAGAGGAGTGTGCATCATGGTAGAGAAAGGCTCTGGGGATAGGCCTGAGCTCCACTGGCAGTGCCCCAGGGTTCCATGCCCAGCAGGTCGCCTGGCATCACCTTTCCAGAAAAGCTTCTAAGCCCATGCCCTGGTGAAAATACATCCTGATTCTCAGAGGATGGCCCCCAAATCCATTAATCCTGGCCCCACCTTTTCCCAATTCCCCTCCCCTCCACCCACTGACCCAAGGCACCAGCCATAGTTCCCCAATGCCAGGTCCTTTGATGCCACTGCATTTCCGTATGTATTCATATGTATGTATGCATGCATGTATTCCTCTGCAAGAATTGCTCGTCTCCAGGTGCAAACTCTGACTCTTCCAGCTTTAACGTTACCACCTGTGGGAAGCCTTCCAGAAGTTCTGTGGCTGCTGCAGCTTCTGTCTTCCACCAGTGGTAGCCTGCTGTTCAGTCCCAGTGATGCTGTAGTCTAAAGAATGCATCTCCGTCTAGATAACCCTGTGGGTCCTCCCTTATCGTCTGACCCAGCAGGAGCTCAACAGGGGCTCAATCAAGGTGACCCGCTGGCCCTGTGCCTGCCAGGACACTGATGTGACATCACTGGAGTCAGTTCTGATGATAAGGTAATGCCGGAGAACCCTGCTAACACAGAAGGTAAGCTGAGAGTGAGCTCAGTGAGCCTTCCCTTTGAAGAAGGGGTGAGTGAATGGGAGAAGATTCAGGACAAATCAAGGGGTCAGGAGTAGTTCACTCAGTCCCCTTTCACTCTGAAGGAGCTCACCTCTCCCCAGTACTGTCCACTGGAAGGGCCACTCAAAGCAACTGAGAGAGACCTGCTTGTGTGAAGAGGTAGAGGTTTATTGAAATATAAACATTCGAGAACATGTAAGATAGAAAATAACCACAACATATACAGACACTTGCTGCAGGAGGACATCTGAGGTATTTATTCACTGCCTAGGCTACCCATGTGCTATCACATTTTTCTGGTTAGAATACACATAAGATGGGGAGCAGGGAGGGGACAGAGCTGCCCTGGCTGATGGCACCTTCAGGGAAAGCTCTGCTTGGGCCAAGGCCCCACTCCTGGGGGTACCTGCTGGCACCCCCCATCACGCTCTGGGTGAGACCCTGCTGTTGTCCTTGAGGGCAGTGAGGGTCCACTCCAACGGTGTGGCCAGGCAAGCTGCCTGGGGAAAGCGAGAGGATCCAGTGACCAGAAGGACACAGTGTGTTGTCCCTGCATCCTCTGGGTGGGAAGAGTCCATCCTTTGTGACCAAACCCCTGAGAAAGACATACTGGCCAAATGTCTGAGACACCTTCACATGGGCCCAGTGCCAGCCAACTGGGCTCCTCACTGGCACCAGGTCCCAGATGCCCTTCTCTGCCCACACCCTGCAGGCTGAGGCTAGACGAGGTCAGCCCCCGGGAAATGGGGGGCGTGTGTGTGTGAGTGTGGGAGTGGGGGTGACCGTGTGGAGGGCTGAGAGAAGACGCAGTTGAGCAGAGCTGCAGATTACCAGGCTGAGGTATCTGTGTGTGCCCAAGCTTTTGATTCCCTTTCCTCTCCTACACAGGACTGAATGCAAGCTGCGCCGCCACACACACACACACGCCATGTGTGGTGTCTCCCACTGCCACAGCCCCATGTCCCATTGGTGGTCTGCTGAACATTCCAGGGCTTCCTCGACTGAGGTGAGCCGCACATAAGAACTGCCTTTTCTTTATAGCACAGGAGCTGCCTGCTCCCACCCAGGGTTCAGGAGGAGCTGTGGAGTTCTTCATCTCCTCATACCCTGGGGCGGCTCAACCTCTGGCAAAGTCAGCAAGGACCCCAGCCTGCCTGTGCCCTGAGCTGGGAATGCTGAGTGATGGGGAGATGTCCTGCTGCCTCCCTGGTCAGCTAGGGGTGGGGGTGTGGCAGAAAACGGTCTTCAGAACTGGTGTGGTTTCAGGGCCCAACCAGCGTGAGAGCGGGCCTCTCCACTCCACCTCCCCGCCCCCGCGATCCCTGAGTCGTCTCCCCTGCCTGCCTCCACCCGCCTCCTCACTGGGCTTGAGGGAAGGGCCAGAGGGGCCGGGGTACCCAATCACTTGCTTGACTTTGGGGGTGATCTGTTTTCATTTCTTTGGTGCTACAACAACAATAAAAATTTTAAAATAAAAAAACAAAAGTCAGCAAAACACATATAAAAAAGATTTCAGAGATGCAAATACTTCCTGAAGACTCAAACATCAACAATTACAAATCTGAGGTATTTCAATGAACCTGACAGCGGCACATGTGGGGATGGTGAGGCCAAGATGGCCCCATAAGAAACAGAAGAGGGCTGGGGAAAGGATGAGTGGGCTGTTCTTGGGAGAGCAGGCCGATAAGGGCAAGTGGGGAGCATGAGGTTTGGGGGGTCAGAGAAGGGTCCGTGTGAAGCAGGTGCCAGGGCTGGGCAGCCCCAAGGTTCTGCCTTCTCATCAGCAGATGCCCTGTGGGCCCTGGCCCTCAACTGCCCTCACAGCCTCTTCCTTCAGATCATTAGAAGGGGGATCTGGGACCCTGAGGACTGATTCAAGACTTGCGTTTGAGGGACCCATACCCCAGGAACCTAACAGTAGGCAAGGTGGTCTGGAAGGGCCCCATCCCATGCTCAGCAGAGAAGCATGAAGGCATGCTCTTGGCTCCTAGCAGCCCCACATGGGACTTAAAAACAGGGGAAGAGACTAGTGGCCCTGGGGTCATGGCAGAAGGCAGGGGCAGGGAAATAAATTAAAGGGGAAGGGAAATGGAGGGCCTCCAGCCCTGTGTCGGCTGACAGATTGTCAATACACTGTGCCCCGAGCTGGGAGGTGGCTGGGGAACCCTGGAGGAAGCTGGACACCCACAGACCCCCACCCAGTTCTCCAGGACAATCCCTGATTGGACAACGCTGTCTGTCCTGCCCCTCTAGCCTCTCCCTGCCCCCAGAGTACAGCAGGACCTGAATGGAACCTGGACAGACGGGCACATCCAAACTCTCAATGTCTGGCCAAATGGTGCTCGTCGACGTGGGCTCCGTGAGATGAGGTAAATTCTGTGCATCAACTTCCTTCACTCTTGACAGGAGAGTGGCAAGTGGGAAGCTGGGTCCTGCCCATCAGAGGGACCAGCTGGTGGAGGGCTCTGCGCTGGGGGTGCCCCGGGATGAGGTAGGACTTGGTGAGCAGTGAGAGCTGCTGCTGCTGCTGGCGCTGCTGCCGAGGCTCTGGGGAGCAGACCCCGCGATGAGGTGGACCACAGGCTTCTGGGCAAACAGCACACCTTGGTGGGGGGAAGAGAAGCAAGTGTGGGCAGAGGAAGAGCGAAGGGGCGGGCCAGCTCCTTTCAGTAAGTATTCACTGCTGGCCTAGCCCTGTGCCTGACTCCGCTGTAGACACTGCATTAGGGGGTAATGGGAGAAGATCCAAATGCTGTCCTGCCTTGAAGTGCTGATGGGCTGGGGAGGGGGACAGATAGGTTGTCAGAGTAATTTTGCTAAAATGTCATAAATGCTCTGAGACAGGGGTACCCAGGGTACACAAAGAGGAACAGCAAGTCCAGGTGCGGTGGCTCACAACTATAATCCCAGCACTTTGGAACGCTGAGGCGAGAGAATAGCTCAAGGCCAGGAGTTTGAGACCACACTGGGCAATACAGGAAGACCCTTGTCTCTACAGAAAAAAAAAAAAAATTTTTTTTTTTTTTTTTTGAGATGGAGGTTCGCTCTGTCACCCAGGCCAGAGTGCAGTGGCGCGATCTCGGCTCACTGCAAGCTCCACCTCCGGGGTTCACGCCATTCTCCTGCCTCAGCCTCTGGAGTAGCTGGGACTACAGGCACCTGCCACCACACCCGGCTAATTATTTGTATTTTTAGTAGAGACGGGGTTTCACCGTGTTAGCCAGGATGGTCTCGATCTCCTGACCTCGTGATCCACCGGTCTCAGCCTCCCAAAGTGCTGGGATTACAGGCGTGGGCCACCACGCCCGTTTTTGTTTTTTTTTTTTTTTTTTTTGAGACGGAGTCTCGCTCTGTCGCCCAGGCTGGAGTGCAGTGGCGCGATCTCGGCTCACTGCAAGCTCCGCCTCCCGGGTTCACGCCATTCTCCTGCCTCAGCCTCCCGAGTAGCTCGGACTACAGGCGCCCACAACCACGCCCGGCTAATTTTTTGTATTTTTAGTAGAGACGGGGTTTCACCGTGGTCTCGATCTCCTGACCTTGTGATCCGCCCGCCTCGGCCTCCCAAAGTGCTGGGATTACAGGTGTGAGCCACCGCGCCCGGCCGTTTTTTTTTTTTTTTTTTCTGAGATGGAGTCTCGCTCTGTCGCCCAGGCTGGAGTGTAGTTGTGTGTCTCGGCTCACTGCAACCTCCACCTCCCGGGTTCATGCCATTCTCCTGCCACAGGGTCCTGGGTAGCTGAGACTACAGGCGCCCGCCACCACGCCTGGCTAATTTTTTGTATTTTTAGTAGAGACGGGGTTTCACTGTGTGTTAGCCAGGATGGTCTCGATCTCCTGACTTCGTGATCCGCCCGCCTCGGCCTCCCAAAATGCTGGGATTACAGGTGTGAGACACCACGCCCAACAATGCTGTGCTTAACAAGTGTCAGGTGGGCTTGTTCCCAAGCTCATCCGTAAACCAATGAAATGGGAATGGGAAAGGGACTGCTGTTTTTATGAATACTAAGTTGTTTCTTTCTTTCTTTTTTTTTTTGAGACAAGGTCTTGCTTTGTCACTCAGGCTGGAATCATGGCTCAATCATTTGTCACTCAGGCTGGAATCATGGCTCACTGCAGCCTCGACCTCCTGGGCTCAAGTGATCCTCCTGCCTCAGCCTCCCAAGTAGCTGGGACCACAGATGTGCACCACTATGCCCGGCTAATTGTTTTTTGTATTTTGTAGATTTGGGATTTTGCTATGTTGCTCAGGTTGATCTTAAACTCCTAGGCTCAAGTGATCCTCTTGCCTTAGCCTCCCAAAGTGCAAAGATTACAGGCATGAGCCACCATGCCCAGTCATGAATACTAAGTTAAACCCTTGGAAAGACTCTGTAAAGGTGCGAAATCTACCAACCAACAAAACACTGTTGCCAAATTAGGTTTAGGGAGAGATAACTATAAAAGACTGGGGGGCGGGGACCTTAACAATGTAAGCTGATTCTGCTATACCGGGGTTCCTTTGCCTGTGTCTCAGTCTGCAAAAGGAAGAGAAGAGCTGAACCAGCCAGAGAAAGGCTGTGCATGAGAAGACCGGGGGATTGTGGGACACTGACTGACTGCTTCCATTAACGAGCCAACCACTGGTCTAAAAGGGTTAGGTGAAAGATTTCTGCCAAAGTGGGAGGGACCTACCATCCTGTTAACAATCCACAGTCTCTACGCGTCCAGAGGACCACCTAACCTTTGCAACTCTGATACCAGGAAAAAGGAAGCCATCGTGGGAGGTGTTCAGACAGAGGGCAAGAGGCAGGGTCAGCCACAGAGCTGCGCTGGGGCTGGCTGCAGCCACGTGGGCCTCCCCCAGAGCTCCAGGGCCTCACCTGCGTAGGTGGTACCATCGATGTCCACGGACATGTTAATGCTCCCAATGCTACTCGTGGTCAGGTTCAGTGCTGCAGCCGAGGCCTCTGCTCTGTCTTCTGCTGGGGACAGGGAGACAGTGGGCCTGGTCAAGCCTTCCACAGCACTCCGGCTGTCCTCTCTGATGCTGCCTGGCCCCCCCTGGTCAAAGCCTCACGCTGTCAGAAGGCACCTATGTAACCTTCTCCTGAGTGTAGGGTATGGCAGGAGATCCCAGTCTCGCTAACCTCCTGTCGCTGGCTTTTTCCACTGACACAGTTCATCTCCCCAATTCCCTCTGCTCCCAGAGCAAAGGAATCACAGCAGGCAAGGAGGCTGACCCCAGCTCACCACTCTGCACTGGTACTTTCCACGTGATGGGCAAACCCCGAGCTACACTACACACCAGGCCCAGGAAATCAGAGATCAACGAGACCCAGCCCCAACTTTGAGGACCCACCTTGCCCCTTCTTTCCTTTGACTGAGTCCCTCAAAGAGATGAGTCTATGTCCTCAGCCCCTCCTTTCCATGACCACCTGGGCAGCTGGCGTTTGTAGAAGGCTGCAAGTGCTGGCACACACGGCCTCTGCCTGGCTCACCCCAGACTCAGAATTCTTCCCAGTGAGCTGTCTTTTCTAACAGCCCTTTGCTTTGTGTAGGAGCAGGGCACCTGGCCCTGGGTGAGCTGTTACCTCTCCGTTTCTTTCTGCTCCCCAGGGGCAATGGGGTAGGGAGGGGTGGCCTGGGAATATGTACAGCTCCCTTCACACCTGGCTCCTTCCCACACATCTCATTCATGTTTGCTTTGAGATAGCATCAGGACCAGAATGGGAAAGAATGTGTGTGAATGGGAAAAGGGGCGTGTGGCTTGGGGAGGAGAATGTGGGGCACTAGAACGATGTGAAGAGGAAGGGAAAGGATGTCAATTATGCTGCCAAACTTGTGTTTCCTCCTTCTCTTTATATTCCTGAGTCCCGCTGTCTAGCCCGGGGCAACCTGGCCCCTCGCTGAGCCTCAGGAACATGGGGTATCTTCCTCCCCGACCTGCAGAGGGTGCCCTGCTCTTGCCTACATCCAGTGAGGTGCTGGGGTAAAGGCTGGTGGGGAAACGCTGCAGCTCTCTGAAGGCCTTTGGCTCCTCCTCTGTGAATAACTGCTTTTCCCTCTTATTAGAGAACAGAGCACCGCCTGAGGCAACATGTGGTCCCCTCTACTAAACAACCTCAGCTTGGTGAACTGAGATCTCAGTGCCTCTCTTCTGGGGGCCTAGAAGGCAGAACCTGGAGGGGCCTCTTCCAGGTCAGGAGTATGTGCCTCACCACCCCTGCCCCCAGTCTCAGGAGGCGTGAATGGGCGTAGGGTTTCCCAGTAAGGGAAGGCTCTGCCCTGAGCCTGGCTCACCCCTGCCGTTGATCCTAATCTTCATGGGGAGCTGTCGTGCCATGGTGAAAAAGTTGCGCTGGAAGGCCTGCTGCACCAGGCGCTGCTCCTCCTCAGACAGCCTCGACGCCTTCTTCTCAGCAGGCTCCCCTGACTCCAGCCGCTCCCTCAGCTGCTCCAGCGCGGCGGTCCGAGTACCAGCCTGCTGGTTTGCCAAGGTCACAGGCACAGCCAGGCGATTTGGCACAGGCACTGTTGTCACTGGGGCTCCATCACCTGCAAAAGAACTGGAGCTGGACCAATCCACAATTGACCCTCTTGCCCAAAAACCCCAGTCTTGAACACAGGGAAACTGGCATCCCTTCCTCCCTTTCTTCCTTCTCCCCCAGGAGCCCTACTGACCTTTCCTGAGAGTGGTTGCTGGGGATATCCGAGGGCTACTGGTATTGCTGCCACTGCTGGAGCCAAGCCCAAGGATGGGAAAGCGGATCTTGGGTGGGGAGAGGAGGGCAGGGGCCCCGGCAGCAGCAGCAGCAGCAGTAGCCGCAGCAGGTGAGTAGCCAAAGAGGGAGGAGCTGTAGCTGGGCCGCCGGCCCTCCCTGCGGTTGCCATCAATGGCTGCCTGGAGCTCGGCTGGGGAACTCAAGGCTTTCTTCTCACACTCATAGGCATACAGATACTTCATGTACCTGGAGGAAAGGAAGCAAGCAGGAAGAATAATCCAAAACAGCACCAGAGATCACCCAGTTGAGGTTGGTGGGTCTCTGGAAGCAGTCTCTGCTGGCCAGGACTCGAGGGCAAAGGATCGCAACCTTGGTGTACTTGGCAGAAAAGTCTGGGACGGCTGGACACTCTGCCCCAGCCTCCTCTAACTGCCACTCAATCCTAAATAGGCTCTACTTTGAAGGACCATTCATTAGGGGAAATAAATAACATCTTAGTTGGTGTTTCACATTTGTTTTGGTGCTTTTTTAGTGCCCTGGGAAAAATTAGGCCCATGTTTTACAAGGGCTTTCTGGCTTCTTGATCTTATTCAGAGCTGGGCTAGTCAGATAGGAGCAATTCTTCCTATTGTGCATGGGACCTAGACACTGTCATTCTTTGTGTCTTAGGTCCCAAGAAGCAGTTCTCTACCCAGGAACCTCGCCATTCTGGTTGTAGCTACACCATGCTACCTAACTGATGTCAGCTGTACATTGCATACTCTTCACAGAACAACTTCCAGAGTGTTCCAGAAGAACAGACTCCTCTCTGGCCCTCATTCTTCAGTGCTACTATTGGTTTCACCGCTTCCATCACCCATGTAATTAACTCAAATGCTGACAAAACCAGATCACCAATCCAAGGGGGCCTTCCTGCCTGCCTTTCTCTGGGTCCTCTGCCACTGGGTAAGCTGAATGTCAGGTAAGAGGAGCCACTGGGGTGGAGATGCTGTTTGGAAGACAATGTCCTAGAAGGGGCACAGGTCTTAGAGACAGAAGCTCAGGTCTGAATCTCAGCTCTACCACTTACTGGCTGGTATGGCCTTAGCCAAATTATTTAACCCTGGAGACTTCATTTTTGTAATGTGGAAAATGGGGGCATACCTACTTTACAGGGTTGACTGTGAGGTTTAAATGAAATAGTAAAGTACCAGCACAGAGTAGACACTTGGTAAATGGCGGTTCTCATCACTACTTGGTTTAGTGAGGGATTAATCTCAGAAAGCTTCCCACTGTTTCGGGAATCCACTCATCTTGCTAACTATACAAAGGAATTTCCTTCCTTCCTCTCCTCTAGGTTACAACATCCCCTTTCTTTAGCCTCAGCTTCCTTCCCCCAGGCCCTGGCCACTCACTGGGTCCTGAGGGTGAAGGCGGCGCTGGTGATGGATGTGGGCAGGTTCAGGCCTTTGGTGATCTCCCTCCAGATCTTCTTGTTGATGATCTCCACCAGGCCCCCCTTCTCGGTCACCAGCTTATACAGCATGTACAGGTCCAGGATCTGCTTGGCCATGATGGGGATTCGGTTGATGGGGGTCCCTGTGGTTGTCCGAGAGAAAGAGACAGCGGGATCATCATCAGGCTGAGAAGGATTCCGCGTATGCCCACTTTAACTGAGCTGGAAACAATGCTCATGAATCTGTTTGGAAGTGTAGTTTAACTCAAACTCCCCAAGCCTGAAGACTCAGACTAGCTGTCAGGACAGGTCCAATGCACAGGCTATGTGGGCCTTTGGCAAAGCACTTAGACTCTCTGGTTCTGTTTTGCCGTCTGTAAATAAGAGGGCCAGACTAGATGATTTCAAAGGTGCTTGTTTTTTAGTTTGTGTGTGTGTGTGTTTTTGTTTTGTTAGCAGTATGATTCCAGACTATTCCTAGTGATCTGGCGACTTATCTCTGCAGCTTTCAGACTCCATTCAGTGGCAGCTTCCTCCAGGAAACCTTTCTCTGACTTCCTAGAAGGGGAGCCCCGCCTAGTTACTCTCCTGGCAGCGCTCAGTGCTGCTTGTAAGAGTATGCTCCTTGGCTGGGCGCCGTGGCTCACGCCTGTAATCCCAGCACTTTGGGAGGCCAAGGCGAACAGATCACGAGGTCAGGAGATTGAGACCATCCTGGCTAAGATGGTGAAACCCCATCTCTACTAAAAATACAAAAAAAAAATTAGCCTGGCTTGGTGGCAGGCGCCTGTAGTCCCAGCTACTCAGGAGGCTGAGACAAGAGAATGGCGTGAACCAGGGAGGCGGAGCTTGCAGTGAGCTGAGATCGTGCCACTGCACTCCAGCCTGGGCGACAGAGCAAGACTCCATCTTGAAAAAAAAAAAAAAAGAGTGTGCTTGTTTGCACATGCCTGCTTTCTCCTCTCCTGCTTGATGGAGAAATGGTTTCTTTCTCTCTCGTGTACCCCGCTATGTCAAAGGAGCTGCTGGACACACCAGTCTCCAGGGGAATGAAAAGCCACTCAATTCTCTCCCCACACCAATCATTCTCCCACTCCCTGGCCTCTGAAAGGGGGAGGGTCAGAGCAGCTTCCGCCCAACGGCCCCGAGGGGAAGTGAGAGGAGCCAGGGACTTGATTAGGAAACCTGGCACCGAGCAGGAAGGGCTACTAATGAGCACCAGGGGACGTGGTAAGGGCGGGGCCAGTTCTTTCACAGCCAGCTGGGATGCTCGTCAGGAGGCGTGATGGATGACTGTCATTTGGCAGCCTCAGGATTAATGATCTGGAGGTCAGAGGGGAGAATTCCACAGGGAAGGGTCACCGTCCGGGGCAGGGTATGAGACTTGTTGCCTTTTGATGGCAAACTCCTTTTACTGTACACAGACTGCTGCTCCTCTGCCTTGCCCCCTCCCATTGCCCCAGTCTCGCTGAGGTCTCACTGGGCTGCCTGGTGGACCCTAAGCCAACCTGAGCAGGGAAGAGCTGTTTGTTTCTGCTCCATGAGCCTCTTTCCCTAAAGGCACAGCAGTTTTCTCAGCTCTGAATGGCAGCCTCAGCAACTCTTTTACAGGATGGTTCAAGCCAGAGAATGAAAAGGAAGCAATGTGGGCATGGATATGTGGGGCTGCTGCGGCAGGACCAGGCCTCTTCTTTTTTTTTTTTTTCAAAGATAGGGTCTCACTCTGTTGCCCAGACTGGAGTGCAGTGGTGCAATCATGACTTATTGCAGCCTTAAGCTCCAGCCATCCTCCCACTCAGCCTCCTGAGTAGCTGGGAATACAGGCGCACACTACCACACTCAGGGAATTTAAAAACATTTTCTGTAGAGACAGGATCTTCCTATGTTGCCCAGGCTGGTCTCAAACTCCTAAGCTCAAGCAGTCCTCCTGCCTCAGTCTCCCAAAGCACAAGGACTACAGCGTGACCCACAGCACCTGGGTTAGGCCTCTTTCCTAAGTGTGGGGAGGGAGTTAGTGACCTTGAAGACCTTTACCTTGACCTGCTGGTCCTTGGAGGGTCAAGGACAAAGGCGTCATGGAATTAGACCCACAGATTCACAGGTAAAATAATAGAGGATTACCGGCATACTCCTAAGACACATAGCTCATGTGCTGGTTGACTTCTCCTAGTGCTGTTCTGGACAGTAAACCTTCCCCCTACCAGAAAGACAAAAGCCTGATGTGGGCCCCCAGCAGGACAGAGCTAACGTCGACCTCCTTTCAGAGGCCTGTCTGCCCAAACACACCCATAGCCTTGAGTCCACACCTTCCAAGGCATTACCTGGAGTGTCTGAGAGGACCACTCCCAAGGTCCCCTCACACAGGGCTCCTAAGCTCATATTTCCAGAAGCTCCTAGGGCATCTTCACACATGTGACCCGTTTACTTCCTAGTCAGAATGTCTGTACTGGGCTCATCTTCATTCCCCTAAACTAGCTCCCTTCCCCCACACCTCATTTCTTCCCAGCAACACTACCACGCTTGGAAGTTAAGCAGGAAGGCAGGAACCTCGTGTCAGCACTGGCTCCTCTCCTCTCCCTATCACCCACTTTCAGGGTGCTAGAAGGCTTCATGATTCGTCCTTGGAGGTACCTCTCAAAGGCATCTTCCTTTTTGGCCCACAGCCACCATCCTGGTCCAGGCCCTCTCTGGCCCACAATTAGATGCCTGCAGTAGCCTCTTATCCATACGATCAACTTGCACACTGCAGCCAATCTTATTAAAATACTACTTTTACCATATTACTTACTTCCTTGTTTAAAAACCTATGAAAACTCTTATTGCTTACCTAGCCCATCTCACATGTCCAATCGCATGACCCACGTTCCTCAACACTCCCTTAAAAGATCACATATGAAGTATTCCTGGCATATCTGAGCAACTCACTTGCACTCCAACTCGCTAGGCCTTCTCCCTATTGCCCCCAAGACACGCTCTTTTCTGCCTCCAGTCAAATCCTCTACAGTGTCCTTCCACATCCACTCCTTCCAGGAAGCATGTTCTCACTACCCCAGTTCATGTGGGTTTCTTCCCTCTCAGAATTTCTATCATGCCCCTGTAAGTTCAGCAAATTGTCCTTCTCTAATTGTTTCACGTCTGTTCATCCGACATCCCTGGAGGACTGTCAACTCTATGAAGGCAGGGGTTGTCTTTCCTTTACCATGCCTACCATGCCTTACAGCGTTTAATAAATTAACCTACCCAGACATGTTTCTCGGAGTCGAAGCAACCAGCCCCATGGTAATTCAATTGAGAATCTTTTTCTAAAGTTTCTTTTTAGAGACAGGGTGTCACTCTGTTATCGAGGCTGGGGTGCAGTCGTGTGATCATAGCTCACTGTGGCTTGAACTCCCGGGCTCAAGCGATCCTCCCATCTCAACCTCCTGAGGAACTGGGACTACAGGGGCACACCACTATGCCTGGCTAATCTTTAAATTTTTTTGTAGAGACAGGGTCTCACTATGTTGCCCAGGCTAGTCTCGAACATCTGGTCTCAAGGAATCCTCCCACCATGCCTCCTGAGTAGCTGGGATTTACAAGCTCCACCCACTGCACCCAGCTCTCAACTGGGAATCTTTTTTTTTTTTTGAGTCGGAGTCTCACTCTGTTGCCCAGGCTAGAGTGCGGTGGCACGATCTTGTCCCACTTCAACCTCCGCCTCCCAGTTCAAGTGATTTTCGGCTAATTTTTGTATTTTTAGTAGAGACGGGGTTTCACCACGTTGGCCAGGCTGGTCTCGAACTCCTGACCTTGGGTGATCCACCCGCCTCGGCCTCCCAAAGTGCTGGGATTATAGGCGTGAGCCACCGTGCCCAGCCTCAACTAGGAATCTTAAACACACTTCCCACACGCCTGTGACGTGCCTGCTGGGACCCTCACAATTGAGGCCAAAGGGGAAAACAGGTGTCAAAGAGCAGGCAGTGGCCAGGTGTGTGACAAGCATAAGACAGATGTGGCGAGTGTTGAACCAGCATGGCAGGGCTTGCCCAGCTGAGGAAGTGCTGTCCTACAGGTCACCTTGGACAGCTAGCTTTGAAACTCCATCTGCAAACAGCTTTCAGAGTTTGCACTATTTTCTTTTGAATCTTTTTTTTTTTTTTTGAGATGGAGTCTCACTCTGTTGCCCAGGCTTGAGTGTAGTGGTATGATCACAGCTCAGTGTAGCCTCAAAATCCCGGGCTCAGGTGATCCTCCCACCTCAGCCTCCTAAGTAGCTAGGACCATAGGTGCACACCACCTAGCTCAGCCCAGTTAATTTATTTTGTTTTTTATTTGTTTTTATCTTTTGAGACTGAGTCTTGCTCTTTTCCCCAGGCTGGTGTGCAGTGGGGTGATCCCAGCTCACTGCAACCTCTGCCTCCTGGGTTCAAGTGATTCTCCTGTCTCAGCCTCCCGAGTAGCTGGGATTACAGGTGAGTGCCACCACACCTGGCTATTTTTAATAATTTTAGTAGAGATGGGGTTTCACCATGTTGGCCAGGCTGGTCTCGAACTCCTGACCTCAAGTCATCTGCCAGCCTCAGCCTCCCAAAGTGCTGGGATTACAGGCGTATTTTTATTTTTTGTAGAGGTGGGGTCTCACTATGTTGCCCAGGCTGGTCTCAAACTCCTGGACTCAAGCAATCCTCCCACTTCAGCCTCCCAAAGTGTTGGGATGACAGGCGTAAGCCACTGCACCCAGCTGAGATTTTCTAGTGTGGTTCGAACCGCCTCTGAAGGCAACTCCCCAGAGAGGAATTACAAATTCATTTTGAGTAGTCAATGGATTAACTGCCTGGCTATTTGAGATGGCATCTTTGAAGGACAACATTGTTATAGATGTAGAAATTTCATTAAAAATTAGCCTCTTTATAGTCACACACAAAGTGACTGTATTATATTAGACTGAGAGCTGCTTAGGGCAAGGGGGACACTGGCAGATACAGAACCTGAGTAGACAAGGAAGGGTCACAGTGGTGTCTGAAGTCAAGGTTGTAACCTAACTAATCAGTGACCTCTTCCCAGAGGGGAAAATGGACTCTTGTGGGAACTGTCATCACACCACAGAGAAACCGCAGGTAAGAGGCGCACTGGAAGCCGTGGTGGTGGCCCCGGCACCCTACCG